TAAAGTCGATCCCGGACTCTGATCATTATTTACATACAGGATCAAAAGATTATTATTTTTATTTTAAAGTTGCTTCAAAGCATACACTTCTTAAAGGCTTAAATATGCCGGCATAAATTCAGACTTGAGCTTTTGCATAATTTATAAATTTGACATTTATTCGCGTTCTTTTATTAAACCGCTCTTCGTAATGAAATATTCTGGACTCGATGGAAAAATTCCGGACGAGAACACAAGATTTAATTGTTGTGTTCCGCCGAAAATGAGCAATAATTGAAGCTACATAGCTCGTTGTTTTGTCATGCTTAATAGGCATTAGAGAAAATTAAATAACAAACCAGAGGGAATTTTAGTTTTTTTATTAAAACAGTTGACGTAAAATTACACAAAACTATTTGTTCTTTACTTTTTCTAATAATTTTAATTTTTAAATGGCAGCAGGAAACACCTTTATGCAATTTTAAATTGGTGTTTTGACTTTAACGATATTTTGATGGCGCTGTTATGACATATTGTGTCGTTAGGGAGCACTCCAAAGGAAATAAACGTCTCCGACAATCATTCGCAAGATACTAAAATATTAAAATTGCAAATGGTAATAAGAATATTTTGTTACGTGTAGAAAAAATTTTAATATTTTTGTAGTCCTCACAGAAACTTAGTGAAGCAAAGATCTTTTTGTCCGATGAATGACACCAACTGTTGCCAGCGTTTCTAATGGAATATGATATAATATCTGTTACAGATTCGGAGTGATGCTACATCTGTCTGCAAACAATGTGGTATTAGATTACGTAAAAATATAATTAAAGAAGTGAATAGTTTAGTTTTAATTAAGATGAGCACTTTGAAATTGGAGTTAATTTGGTAATTGGAATGTTTTTCATGAGAATACAATGGTCATGTAAGGTTTGCATACAAACAAATGTAGTTTGGCACTCCCTGCTGAAACAACACGCGATTGTTGCGTGGATGAAAAAGGTATCGGATTTCTAAAATTCTTCACTACATTATGTACCTCCACAAATGGTGGAGGCGCCGGTCTAAAAAAAATATAGAAAAGATTATTATTGTTAAAAAATTAAAACAAATTATAAACTTTATCACAATATTTCTTTGCTGATAAGTTAATGAAAATAATATTTAATGACAAAATTGGGGACTAGATTCCTAAAACGACAAAATTCAACGTAAATGTAATTAATTTTGGTCTCCCACAACTATAATATTAAACATCGCACGTGTAATAAACAAGATTTTATCTAACACCGTTCATGTAATTAAAATTCCGGTGCTTGTCATAAAACTAATCATTAAAAGATAACAAACATAGGCCAAGTTTAGTTTGTCAAACTAAACTTAACCAGAGCTATATTTGACTAGATATTGTTTTAAATACATTTGAATTAGAAATACGATTTAATTGTGAAAAAATTAAATAAATAAACTTGAATTGTGTTTGTGGCTATTTTTGTTTCTCTCTTTAATGTTGTATTGATAGACATTTGAAATTTTTTCCGAATATAACCTGCCACTATCTATCCAATTTAATCAATCTCTTTGATCTTTCTCGAATTGTGAGATGTGATTTTGGCGAATAATGACGTTTGTCAATAACACGAGTCCGTCGAGACCGGTCTGAAACCACATAAAGTGCTCTCAGCTAAGCTTCAATATAAATCTACCTATGTTACATCATATTACATATTAACAAAACACAAGCTTCAGTTGTTAATGAGGGCGGAGCAAAACTACAAGATGTCGAAATGTCACGTAAGCGTCGTGATTAACTCAATTTGAAATGCGTGACGTCGGAATTCGACATGGAATCTACTCTCATTAATTTATTTTGGTAACTTTCGCTTTAAAGGTACTTTTAAATTTATGGTTTCCTGAGATTTATTTTATCTATGCCCGCTAAGGGACTGAGGACTGTGACCTGAAAGTTGCTTCAGTGGTGCGATGATTCTTCTTCATGCGGTAATAGCTTCATTACCGCGCTAGAGCGATAACAAAAGTATATGAGAAAGGTAACTTTGTGTAAATTTTTTTCACAATATCGCTATCAATCATACTTACAAAGACACTTTCTAACAAATTAGGTTAAATTTGCTTTTGTAATAAACAAAATAGAGAAGAAATAAAAATTATTATCAAAATTGATGCTTCTACAAATTCTGCTGTGCCAAGCAAAAACCCAGTAACCAAAAATTTATATTTTATATTCATTTAAATACACCATTAGTAACTATTTGTTTAAAATTATTACCTAAACAAGTAGTTTCTGTTTTTTCAAAAACAGTAACTACGGCGCAGAATTCCTTTTCCCAGTGTAAAACACTGTATCTACAAAATAAAGTCCGTTTTTTATTTATGCGTGTGGATCAATTAATAATTTGAAAGACGTACTAGATATCTATTTCTTTTCAACATTTGTAGACAGCCATGTTGCTCTTTCGCGTATTTGCGTAAGGTCGGTCACGTAGGTAGGTCATTTTATTTTAATTTTTTAATAGGGAAAATTGTTTTGAGGCTAATATTTATACCCTCTATATCATCATAACAATTGTAATTCAAGCCATATAAGAATCCTATTGCCAAAGAAAAGATTGAATTTTTTACTTTAGTACCAAAATATCAGAAGCTGTTAAAACAGACTGAGGTCATGTCGTGTTCTTGATTTACACTACCCCCACGCAAACAAAAAAGATAGACTGTACCTTAGAAACAGTCAATTGTACTCCACTTTTTAAGTAGAAATAACTTAAACAAGAGCCAGTTTCGTAATCAAACTAAACGGACTTTAAAGTTAATGTTGTTTTAGAATGTGAAATTTTTGTCAACAAGTTTGTAGTTAATTTAATGCTCTTTTAAATGCAATTATGAAACTGACCCGAAGTGTGAAAAACTATATTTTTTATAGTTGTAACATAATCATAATAACATAAATTTACATGAACCTAAACAAACAAACAGGATGTTTCAGAACACGCGCCCCAGAGAAAAATGTGAATTGCCGGCAACAAATAAGGCACCAAAAAGTGCAGCCGAAGAAGTAACTTTTGCTTACATAAGAAAGTTGCGGAACTCTTAATTCCACCAACCCCAGAAAGGCACCTCAGGGTGTGATTGAAAAATTATATCCATTGCTAGGTACCACATAAAAAATGCAGTTTACTCTACAGAAAAATAGTTTTTTTTTTTTTAATTTGCAAGGCATATTTGATTTTTCAAAACTAAAATTGTGTTAGAAATTAATTTTTAATCAAACAGAGCTGAACCCTTAAAATTAAAATCGAATTTGTTTTATCTTTTACAAGAGTCGTTTCATCTATCCGGTAACGTACTGTATATGTGTATATTATACACAGGATGTCCCACGTAAGATTCTTGGGTCTAATACCATTGTTATTTGACAACAAATTTTCATAAAATTTAAGTCTAGACAACTCAGAAGGTGGAGATTTAAGTAGTTTTAATAAAACTGTTTCAAGATACGAGTAAAAAAATAATTTTAATACATATTTTCTCAATTTGAAATTAAGAGAAACTATTACTAAGCACTAAAAATAAACCTCTACACAAAAAACTAACTAAATCACTCGTCTGAATCAACAGAAATGCCGTCGAGTATGTATTAAACTGTTGATCTAAACCTTGTAAGAATTTTATAAGTTAACTAACAATATTTTAATGTCCCCAAGTATCATTCTAAAAACCTGTGGTAAATTAAGTTAGACCTGTATCTTTAGATCCTATTTACAGACCTTTATCAGGAGGTCAATCTGTATATCTATCTGTTTACAGACCTGTAGCAGAAAATCTATCTACAGACCTGTATCTGTATATATTTGTAAATCTGCCAACCGACCTGTATCTATAAATTTATCTACAGAACTGCATCTGTAAATCTGTCTACAGACCTGTATCTGTAGATCAATCTGTAGATTTATACAGGCCTCTAGCTGTAGATCTATATACAGTTCTGTATCTGTGGATCTATTTGTACATCTATCCACAGACCTGTAACTGTAGATACATATGTAGATCTATCTATAGGACAGAGGTCAGGTCAGGTTCTTTTCTAAAATTGAAAGAGTTAAAGGTCACAGTGTTGCTTCCCCAATTGGAAAAGAATTATAATTCACCGTCGTATAGGAACATGTTTCGGCAAATTATAAAAGTTTTATTTGGAACCAAATTACTTAAAAATAATTGAACTAAAGAATAAACCAATTAACTAGTAATTTCTATGTTTTTTTTTTAAATATTAAAGTATAAACAGAAAGAGAGATGAAGCCGACACCTTCCCAAAATGATTAAGGCATTTTGTTTTTTTTTGTCTTTTTTATCTTTTGTTCTTTATGTGAAAATGTCTAAAACTTCCGTAAAAGAATGCTTTCCAGTCAAAGAAGCAGAGTTTTTTTTTGACAAATTAAAATTACTCTTCCCGTTGGTACATTCTTTATCTGTACTATTATTAATTAATTGCTTTTGTACTGAAAACTGCTTGAAATTGTATTTACTTTTATTTAATTTTAGGAATGAGTAATATTTGTAAAAATTAAACTAATGAAAAACACAATATCTAACACTATAATTTTGTTTTATTAAATTGCCTTTAAAAACGATATTTCTAAGTTAAATAATATGTAGGGAGAGCAAGTCATTCGGAAGGGCTGTTTAAGAAGTACGTCATTTTTGGGTCCAGCAAAATATTAATTAAAAAGCAGATATTGTGTTTTAGCTTTTAGCTTAAAATTTGTGTCTAAATAGACAAAAGGTAATACAATTATTTCTTATATTTATTTTATTACAGCAATCGCTAAAAAAAGTTTCAAACAATGGTTTCAAGATTTTTTTTTATTTATCATTATTTTTATTATAAATTAAATCATACTCCATCTTTTTAAAACTTTTAGGCCGAGTTTGACTGGTTCGTACTCAAATTATTGACTTTTAACGTTGGGAGCCTCGCCGTAATCCGAATTTTATTTCAGAATCTACCGAAAATGACGCTGCCTTTCCTCCTTCTTCCCAAGCGGTGCCAAAGCCACGATGCCGCTCCTTCGGACCACAACCCTTGTCGTTTTAACGGTGATCCAGCTATTTGAGCCCTCGTCTCCGACCGGCAATCAAGACAAACGCATATCAGCGTTCCTGAACGGCGATTTTATAATCGGTGCCTTATTCCCCGTGCATCACCAACCGTCATCAAAGAAACGCACCGTCGCCAGTCTCGGCATCAAATGCGGCGAAATCCGGGAACTCTACGGCATCCAGCGCGTCGAAGTCACGTTCCAGACATTGGACCGAATTAATAAAGATCCCAATTTACTGCCCAACCTCACATTAGGGGTGGAAATCCGGGATGAGTGCTGGTACGCCCCGGTGGCACTCCAGCAGAGCATCGAGCTCATAAGGGATGCCATCACTCCCGTGTCCTCCTACCTGGACTCGTGCCACAACCTCACGGCTGCCAGCGACGCCGGCCAGCGAGGACCCCTCATCGGGGTGGTGGGGCCAGGGTCCAGCTCGGTGGCGCTCCAAGTGCAGAACCTGCTGCAGCTGTTTCACATACCCCAAGTCGGGTATTCCACCACTTCGAGGGATTTATCCGATAAGAGTCGATTTAATTATTTCCTGAGAGTGGTGCCGTCGGATTATTACCAAGCGCAAGTTATTCTCGATATTGTGAGATATTACGGGTGGACGTACGTCTCGGCTGTCAATACCGATGGTGAGTTTCACATTACGAGAGGAATGGGATGAGGTGTTTTCCAAGGATCGGGAAAAAAGTTTGCGCTAAATTATTAATTTGTTTTGACACTTTTGATGGAAATTTCGTTGAAAAATGTGCACAATTTAATCCGCATATCGAAAAAAGTGAACTCATAGTATGTTAGAAAAAAAAACTCAAAACTTACGAGTATAAAAATTAAAAAAAGGAGAGTATGAGGAAAAATGAGCTTTTTACTACAAAAATTTTAATGAAAGAATGTGTCTGTAGGCACTTTGTATTTAAATAAAGCTCGTAATTGACGTAAGTTCTAAATTATTCTTCAGCCTTAGTTCCAAAATTGTAACTTTTTTATTTACAATTAAAAAAATAATGCGGATTTAGAAATCACCACTAAAGAGAGCAAAAAAAACAAAAATTTGTTCAAAATCTGTAAGTAAAATTTCTTTAAAATCTTTTAAGCCCTATTTTTGTAAAAAAACATTGAAACCGGATTTATAGTTGAATAAAAATATCATACAATGAAAAAAACTAGTCCAAATTTGGTTGTTTTAATTTAACCTGGTTGAGTCGACTTGGAATTTATTCTCCCTTTTATAAGACATAACCCAACTTTGAGGTGGCCACCTCCTTCATTGAAATTTTTGAGTTAAATCGATGCGTGGACCTTATAGCTTGTTCATTCTGCTTCAGTTTGCTTTTTTATACTCTTTTTACGTCAATTTGTCGCTGAGATATCTGACTTTTAATAAAAAAGGATTCTTTTGTCTTTGATCATCAAAAATTCAGCAATCAATGACCGCACAGAGAATGTAACCGTTGTTTCAAATACTGGAATAAATAAGATCCTTTGACGATTAAAAAAAAATTTACTTTGATTTTAAGAAAAGAGAAAATAGTAGATTATATTATTAGGAGTAAAAGTGATTTTATGTGTTATGTGTTTATGTGGCGAAACTGAACGTTCATTTTGCCGAACGGAGTGAGGCAAATGGATTCAGCTGAGCCACATAAACTCACTTTTACTCCAAATAATATATACTATTTTATCTGAAAACGATTTAGATGGAGAAAAAAGAGCAAGACACCAATAATCAAGTAAATCATCTCAATAAACAGGACGCTTTGCAATAAAATCATAACAAAGTCACGCCTCACTTTCGGAATTTGTGTTGAGAATGCTGATAATCTACCTTGTACCTCTCCAGAAAATGCTGAAAAAGCGAAAGAAACAACAGTGGTAAATGTGAAAGTAAGTGTCAAGTAAAAGTGAAAACGCCTAGGCGTAAAAACAGTGTTTTTACTCCATGTCTGAAAAGTAAAACTTTTACCTGTGTCATAAAAGTGGTCACTTTTGTGACGTTTGCGAATAAAAATAGTTTTTTTTGTTGTTTTAGTAAATTTACCAAGTATTTACAAATATTATATAACGAAGAAAATAATGTTATTCGGTTTTTTAACAATCTAATATCCGTCAATAGTCCTGTAAATTTTTAAATTTACCATCGAACCGTTTTCTCGGACCGATTAATCAAAGTTTCACAAAAGAATTAAAGGAACAAGTGTATTGGTTCTGAACATTGTGTAACTTTCATCTCAATCAAAAAACACGTTTTTTCAACATTTTACAACTTTGCATTATTGAAAAAAAATACATTTTTTTCGCGCTATTACGTGATAACCGTAGCTCAGAAAAAAAATTGCCAAAAGATCTCAAAACTAAAAACTTAAAGCTGCACAAAATGTTTTTTAAGTATGCAAATATGACCATTTTTTACTGAGATACAGCCTTTTAAAAATCACCAAAGAAATTAATAGATTTTTTTTGTACCCTTAATTTTTTTGAGTGGTGTAGGTATAAAGTTTTGTTTGTATTTTAATTAAACCAATGGCAATTAACTTTATGTAACATTTTTTCATTAAAGGTAAATAATAAGGATTAATTTAACTGAGTTTCCGTTCTTTTTACCTAAATTCTACTCTACCGGAAATAGCATTATTATGAATGCAGGAACGCTTCGGCGGTCAATACTGAAGATGAGTTTTTATTTCAGGTGTTAAAAATATGTTTTGAGGGGGAGCATTTTTTGTAGAATAAAAAATCTATTGAAATGGTTTCTTTTATGTGGCTTTAGGTACGGACAATAGCTTCATCAGTGGCGCACAATATCAGTTTTCAATTTTCCAAGGTATTGTACCTTCCACAATTCTTTATTTGGTGCGACAAAATACTGATGGGAAAGTACAAGAAATTAAAAAAATTCGTCGAGCTTTAGCAAAGCTGAGATGCATTATGCAAGTTAGAATTTATTTGAAATATTTAGATTTGTTGCTCACTAATTTTGGTGGATGCGCCGGGTATGATTATTTTTAATAAGTAAATACCGGGAGGGGCATCGGTTACGCGCAGAAAAGAAATTTCCACTTCTAATTAAATAAAATTGTTGAATTTTTTCACATTTACCTGTGCATTAGTAAGGTACATTCTCTAATTTTTTGGTAATTTTTCATTTACGAACAAAGCCAAAAAAAAATAGGAAGTAATTTTCTCCCAAAAAGTTTAATTCTAATTTTTATACTGACCTACGCAGATTCACTTCTTACAATTGTTTACAAAATCAGAGAAAAAAAATACCAATTATATTTTGAGTAAAACGTAATTTCCCACCTTAACTTTGAAAATAATTTTTATTTATGACCTGCTACTTGTGCCATCGTAAATTTAGGTGACAATGGGGAACTGCAATTGGGGTAAGATTCCAAGATTTACAACAAAAAGAGCTTTTAAACCGGTCGGCTACCAGTAAATGATTCTTTTGTTGGCAAATTATACCATTTTGTCATAAATCACGGGTCTGGTTTGTGTTTAAATAAAAAAAGCGATTATTTGAATAACCAAGTCAAAATTTGAAATTGTGATATTAAAGTATGATGCGCTAACAGATACAGATTCATTTAGTGTAAAAACTTTATAAGTAAATTAACAGAAAGTATTCCTAATACACACAAAACTGTTACGGACTCATTTAAAAATAGAAAAATTCTCAAAAATTATACCAAATCAATAATTAATTAGGTATATGAAACATCGCCAGTTTTAATTAATTAGAAGTCGCGATTTATCATGTGCGCGTAACCGATGCCCCACCCGGTATATGCAATATTGTATACAGGCTGCGCCAGAACTCGCGCTCCAGAGAAAAATGCCATGTAAAGTAAGATACTAGGAATATGGAAAAAATGTTTAAAAAGTTCTATCTATAAAAATTTTGAAGTTGTACCTAAGAGTTTTAATCTTGCACTTTGACTTTATTTATTTCTGTTGAAAAAATAATTTTCTAAATTTTTTGCTACAGGCTATTAGAAGAGGAAACAAGGATAATATTATTTGTGGCTTTTATTGGCAAAATTTTTGTACCATTACTAAATAATTATAAAAGAACATATCATCAGTATCATTAAATAGACATAATAAAATGTAAAAAATTAATATAAAAACATTTTTTCCATGTTCCTGGCATCTTACTTGAAATTTTTCTCTGGAGCGCGAGTTCTGACACATTCTGTATCTAACTTGTAAGTATAATTTTATTATGCAACCTTCCATTAAACCTTCGCTTGTCATTATTGCTGATGAGCAAATAACCAACATCATTTAATTAATCTTTGCGGTTCCGTTATTCAAATATAGCTCCATTGCACAAATTTACTTAAAGTGAATCTAGACAACTTATTACCGTTCATAGTTGGTTATTACCACAGAAAAATGACAAAGTATGAAGAAGTTATAAGAAGATGACGGAAATATTTTACATTGTAATCAGTTGAAATCCTCTCAAAGGTCGCTTTAGGCTCAGTTATTTCCTTAAAATAACAAAGATAAAGTTTTTCTTTAAAATAAAATTTTTGCGAGTTTTCCTCAATCTAATTATTTTCCGGTTCATAACGCATTTTCATCAACTACAATGGACTTAAATTCTATCAGACTCAAATAGTATTTAAAAGATCCTTTGTTATCCGTTTAACAACTAAATTAGTGTTTTTTATCTAGGATAAAAATGCAAATTGGATTGAGAATGGTTTTAGTTTTCCTTGTCAATATTGACAAATAAACTTCTGATTAATTGAATAACTTTTGTAACTTGTTTGCATTTACAGTAATTGATCATCGAGCTTCAGGAGTGTCAGTTGCATAATTGTTGGCGATTAATTAACATTTTTCAGACAGTAACAGGTGTTACGTAAGCTGTTAATTACGTAATCGATATTTTGTTACAGAAAATTATGGCCAATCGGGGATCCAAGCCTTTCGGGAGCTTGCCGAAGAAGCCGACGTTTGTATCGCGAGAGAGGATTCGATTCTGAGCAACGCGCCCGACGAAGGCTTTGATAAGGTCATCCTCAATCTGAAACAAGATCCCAATGCTTATGTCGTCGTCTGCTTTTGCGAAGGACTGACCGTCAGAGGACTCCTCAAGGCGACCCGACGTCTCAACATGACCAATCATTTCTTATTCATAGGAAGGTAATTTCATACAGTTTCTAGTTTTCTTTCTTGTCTACACAATTTTCCAGTTGTGAATTTCCAATGCTTTGAATCAGAAACTTAACTTAATTTCAAGTCAAGTCTTCGTAAAAAAAAACAGTGTCATTGTACATATATGTATGAAGTAATAAAGTTTCATTCACACAAGTGTCTATAGTCTGAGAGCCGTGATCAAAGGAACAACTAGAGAGCTTTTCGAGAAAGCACGCATTTTATTAATACAGCAGAAGTACTGAATGAATGTAAAATTGATTCCCTGCGATGATTTCACTATGTCTATATTCTCATATATCTCTCGCCACATGTCGACGTACTCTATTACTGTCATATTACCATCATCAGTGAGTTTAATAAAGCATGGTAACCCCTAATTTAGTTGCCTTAGCTAAAGGCTGTCTCAAAGGAGGCATCGTTTATACATTGCATAACGTTCAACACTAGACAAGTAAAGATTTAAATATAACTTAACTATCGTTTCTTATATCAATAAAAATACAAGGTGTTCCAGAACTCACGTCACAAAAAAAATGCCATGTAAAGTAAAATACCAGGAACATGAAAAATATGTTAAAAAAATTCTATGTCTAAAAATTTAGAAATTATGAGAGCTTAAATTTTGTACTGTGACTTCATGTTTTTTTGCCATACTTGATACATAATGGCTATTTATGAATCAAGTACGCAAAATAGGGTTTTAGGGGACGAATCGTAATTAATGATGAGGCGACGTAGGAGCCGAGTCTTTAATAAAAGGAGTCACCTAAAACCCTATTTTGCGTACGTGGTGCATACAAGATTTTTTTGTTAAAGCTTCCAAAACACGAATTCACACCTCTTACTAATTAAAAAAAATTCGTTACTATAGTAGTATTTTTTAGTCCGCAAAAACCGTTTTTCCTAAAATAACCATTTTGCATACTATTTTCTTGAGTCCGGAAAAGACTCATTTTGGGGACTCAAATGAGTCCGCGAAATAGCTATTTTTGGGAGCGTACCTATACAAAAAATAGCTATTTTGGTAACACGTACCTAAAACGTTTTTGCGGACTCAACTGGTATTCCAGACGAGATGAAACCGACATTTGTCCGCAAAAACTGTGTTTTAGGTACTTGTAACAAAAATAACTATTTTTGACTGTTCATGATATTTTTTAAATACTTACTACTGATATAAGCGGCACCGCATTCAAGAATGTGTGGCATAATTTTAACTACGAATATCCCTCTACAAAAAAGAATAGATAGCACAGTTTTATTGACCTACCTAAAAAAAGAAAAAAATACAGCTTTCCAAAAATTGGGATGAAAAAATGATTTTCTGAAAATAGTTTTTTTATCGTTTATCTGATTAATGCTTATTATGAAACTTTGCATGTTAAGAGACAAAAAGACACTCTTTGATATGGTGTAAACGGAAATCTTGTAAAAGCTATACATTTCCCGTGACAAGGCGCTCTTCCAGTTTTTGGGTCATATTTTTTTTAGCCTATTAACTCCTATTTTTGATACCAAAAATTGAAAAAAAAATTCATTGTTTTTATTATTATTTTCAAAATTCTATTTATTCTTAAACATGTTTTAACTATCTTGGTTAAAAGAAGCACACAATGACCTTCATTAATTATTAATAAAAAGTAATTTCAACTTATTAGAAACCCATTTTATTTTTAAACTTTTAAACATTCAATTTTTTTTATTTTTTATATAAGATAAAATAGAGACCTAAAAGTTTTTTGAAGTATTTTTTTCATAAAGTTTACTTAATTTTCAAACTAAAATTTTATTGAAGATATTTGTTGTCTCATCGAAATAAAGGAATTCAATTGAAAGTCATTTTTACTGTTTTTAAAAAATAATGTTAGATTTACTGTTTGTATCCTACTATAAAAATCAAACCTAAATCGGGGTTGAAATCGCAACCAATTTGTTTTCAACATAGCCTGCTCATAGCAAAAGTTTTTAATTCGCTTTTCCTAAAATAAATTAGTTTTATTTTGATTTATGCTCCACTTCAAAAATGATTTATTACTAAAGCTTAATTATTATGCTTTTGAGTAGAGAACACAGACTAAATTTCGGTTTAAACGTTTTTTCTATGATCGGTGTGTTTGTCACAAATAAATTTACGATCTCGGAAAAAAATACTAATTAAAGAATTTGCCTGAAGCGTTGAAAGGAATTGAAGACAAATACAGGAATAAGTCTGAGACATTCTAAAGGAATTTCTTACATTATTTAAAAAACAATAAATTTGTGTAGATAATCTCTACAAAATTTATTTAAAAGAGAATAATTCTTTAAGTGGAGAATAACTCAATGTTGGTATGTGCAAAGAATTCAATTATTCTCGAATTTTCGAGGACGACATCGAAACAGCACGAGTTTTAAATCGGCCTGCAGCAGGATAAAGGGAATTCCGAGACAAATGAGCTTATTTACACGTAAATTGTTTTAATATAAGCACAAAAGAAGCTTTCGACCATTTGTCGATCTTTTTACTGAATTTGCCGTTGCAAATAGGATTGGTTTTGCATTTAGCTTATTGTATTTTTGTTGGGACTTAAATTTTTAAACAACGAAAAGTTTCACTCTTGCACTTATCCTGTTTAGTGATTTTAACTTAATTGCTAATTAAAATTAAGAATTATCGCCTTATTAATTAATATAAGTGATAAAACTAATACAAGCGTACAAGATCTTGTATCCTGAATCCTCCAACGCTACTCCGTGATAACAGCCTTTCACACCGGATTTCCCGTCAAATGAGTAGGAATAACTTCTAGTAATGAATAGTTAATTGCTAATTGCTTCAACTGTTGGTCGATTGATTACTGCTTATACAATAATTAATTAATGCTGGTCAATTCAAATCCTCCTCTATTTCAAAGAGATTAAAAAATGAATTGGAAAATTGTTAAATAAGCCGGAAGCAATCTAATTTCAGTAAATTTGTGAAAATATGACAAGTTTTCAGTTCATTAACTCGTAAAAAGCAAATTTAATGAACTAATTGAAACTATCTCCAAATTCGAATATTAAATTACAAGTTTGTAGTTACTTATAATGTGGTAAGCACCAGATGGCATTGTTTCCTTCCGACATCGCAAGTAGATTTGTTGGATTCCCAGGTACTTCAAAAGTTTCTAAATTATGTCATAGTTTCACTCTAATCTTATCTTGGCATCTCTAACCGCTTGTTAATTGCTGCTTAATGATTGTAAAGCACTATCTAAAATATATTATTTAAATTTTACAATTGATAGTTGACACAAAAAATCTCAAATCTACGAACCAAAATCAATTTATCTATAATTTGATAATGTGTGAAACAATAGATATAAACAATAATTTAAAAATTAGATTTTTTAGTTTAAAAAGTAAATAAAAGCAGAATGTTTGTTATTTCAATTGTAAATCAAATCAAAATATTTATACATGTAAACCGGAAATTAAAAAGTAGTGTACTCGTCGGTGTAGACAAAAAAATTTCAATTTTCATAATTTGTTAGTTGCATTAAAAAGAGATTTCTTTTTAGATTTGATCGAAATGTATTTTTAATTTAATCATTAGTTTTATTTTCTAATTGTTTTTCAATTTATGGAGGACTAGTTTAATTATTTTAATGTTTACTGTTATCATCGGATCACTGTATTAACAACATTTTTTTAACTGAAAATAGTTATAACCCCAGGCCTAAATGGGCTACAGCCCTGGGGCGCCAGCCATTTAGGACGGCAATTTTACTTGCACTGAAATCAGTAACGTGGTTGTCATACTTTTTCTAAAAAAATTTTACACAAGAATTAAGACTGATTTTTTTTCTGGAAAGAAAATAGTACAAACTTTAAGGCTTAAATAAAAGTTAAAAAAAAATAAGTTTGTTAAAAGTTACTCAATACTCATTAAAAATTTTTAATGAAATATTTGATTTATTGATTTTGTATTTAAAAGATTTAAGACATTAAAAGGTATGTTTTTAAATTGAAAATTTAACAATCTATTAGTTGCAAAAACAAAATAGGGCGTTCCATTTACA